TCCAGTGTAACAACGGCTAAAATCTTCCGTGCGTTGCTATAGGATGTCCGGTTTTAAGCATACTCCCTTTCATTGGATGATTTGATAAACAAAGCTCCATATAGATACAGTGCCTTGATATGTTTATGTATATGTTTGAAAAGAAAAAAAAGGGGGGAGGTAGGGATAAAGACAGTGAAATATGGAGTAAATGGCCGCGAGATAAAAAGTATTCTTGAGATGTAGTATTGACTATGGAGTCTGACAAATCATGCTTAAAATATATCATTTCTATACTTAAAAGGAATTAATAATCAAGTCTTCATTTTATACAATATAAAAGCTGGGCACCTTTTGCTGTTCTGTAGTTTACAAAGTGTTATTTCAAAAACTATGACTATTACAACTCTATTCAGTCCTGTCAAGCTGGGAAGATATCAATTGGAACATGGTGTTGTTATGGCTCCAACAGGTCGCTTCCGATGTACTCTTGAAGGTGTGCCTACGGAATTGGTTGCTGAATACTATGGACAAAGAGCCTCTTCTGGTGGTCTTCTTATCACTGAAGGAACCGCCATTCATAAATCAGCAGGCCCATATCCACGTATAGCGGGTATCTTTACAAAGGAGCAGATCGAAGGCTACAAATTAGCAACAGAAGCTGTGCATAAGAAGGGTGGTTTGTTCTTTGTGCAGCTTTGGCATGGTGGTCGCGCAACGTCAAGTACATTTATGCCTAATGGTGAACAAATCGTTTCTGCCTCTAATATTCCTATTGCCGGGAAAAACCCTTTCTTGGGAGATGCTGATTATGAAGTGCCTCGTCCATTGACCAAGTCTGAAATTAAGGATGTGATTCAGTTATATAAGCAGGCTGCTTTAAATGCAATTGAGGCTGGTTTTGATGGTGTCGAAGTGCATGGTGCTAATGGATACCTTATCGACCAGTTCATCAACTCCAATAGCAATAATCGAACGGATGAATACGGTGGAAGTATCGAGAACCGTGCTCGTTTTGCTCTTGAAATTGTTAATGCCGTAGCTGAAGCCATTGGCGAAGACCGCACTGCTATCCGATTTTCGCCAGGCGGATCTTTTAACGATGTAAGAGATGACACTGTTGTGGAAACATGGAGCTACTTGACCTCTCAGTTACAAAAGAATCATCCCAACTTGGCTTATATTCATTTCATTGAGCGTCGCTTTGATGTCGACGCTGATGTTGACTCCATTTCAGGCGATTCACTGGAGCCTTTCCGAAAGATATGGAAGGGTACATTCATTGCCTCTGGTGGTTTCTCTATTGCGCGTGAAAAGGCATTGGAATATGCTCAACAACATGATGTACTCATTTCTTTTGGCCGTGCTTTTATTGCAAACCCTGATCTACCAGAGCGTCTTCGCAATAATTGGCCATTAAATCCTTACCATCGTCCTACTTTTTATACCCATGATGCAGTAGGGTACACAGATTATCCATTTTATAACGCTAAAGTTCAAGCATAAACATTATTTAAATAAAGTGTATCAAATTTATAGTAGATCATAGAGGTTATTGTTATCAGTAAAAGAAGGAGTTTAACAGCTTGTCACTATATCATGTTTTACCATCTACTAAATGAAGAAGAAGGGTAAGGAACTACATTTTATTCATAAATTATTCGTACACTGATAATTTTCGAGAACAAATGAGACAACAAATAATAATAAAAGAGAGCCACGAGAAGCAAAAGAATGGGATATAAAAGAAATAGTTAGTCCTAGATCCCTCGAACCTCCGTGATCTCGATTACGACGACTGGGACGAAGCGAACAGGACGACTGCCGCACGTGGTCAGTTTCTGTGTCGTACCCTTCATGCTCTCGATTACTTCAAAGGTCATGTAGCTATTTTCTTTGCTAACAAAGGATATATTGATTGTGGCGACTTCCCTGAGCTCTTTCCCGTCAAAGAGACATGAGCTCCATTTACTGTTCTCCCAATAGCTTCCCTTTCTGAGATCCACTTCTCTGCCCCTTTCTTCAAGCCACAACATTTTTACCTTCAAGCCCAGAGGGGTTTTTATATACTTCCTTCATTCTTTGAACTGGCCTGGGCAAAATTAGTATAAAAATACTACGTGTCCACTTGGGTTTAATAAATATATAAAATATCACTACAGGAGTATAGAGCAAGTATTGATGATAATAAAGCTTTATTTAGCCTCCAAAGGCACAGCCAATCTGGATTGTTCTTAGCTACATGTTTATACTAGCTTATTCTCCATTTTCTTCATTTGTTTCTTGTTTATAGAGTGCAGCTAAGGATCTCCAAAAGAATCTGCTCAATTGATCTCTATTAAACTCAATATCGATTCGAAGATAGTCTGGTAAATGAGGAAATATAGAGGTATTTCGTTGCCTTTTGAGTATAGGAAAATATAGTATTCGCTTATCTTTCTGGTTAGGAATGAATAGCGAAAAGTCTAATGCTACATGAGAGTATGTCAATAGAGTGTTTTTTGTTTTTTGTTTTTTGTTTTGTTTTTTTTTACGTATATAATTTACTTACATCCATTGGGCCCACTAAGATTACAGACATACTGAGCGCCATTCTGTTTTGTTCTTGTTTCTTTAATGGCCAACCCGGTAAGTTCGCTTAGGATTTTGTTTTCCTATTTAAACTTTTTTACTAGTTGTAATCTTTTATTGTTGCTCATAAGAATATTAAAGAATACTTTACGTCTTGACTTGAATTCAAATATCTCTTTAGAACCTGATTTGACTGGCGTATCTGGATCTTCTTCTACAAGCTTGCCTATTGTCTCTTCCAGTTTCTGCATTTTTTCATTCAACAGATTAAAGCTTATAAAAACACGATATTATTTAAGTTACTGTGTGCCTGTTCTGTATAGACTTTATTTATTTCTTGAATAATTTGCTCCTCCTTCTTGGCTGCTTCCTCTTGTTTATCTGAAAGTTTTGATAATTCCTCAACATTTTTCATGAGTATTGCAAATCTTGACTGTAGTCATGATTTTATTTAGTCTTTGATTTACAAAAAATATATATTCTGCCTTACGATTCCACTTCGTTCTCTTAATCTATTATTCTCTTCTTTTATTGATCCTCAGGTAAGTATATAATCAAAGTATCCATTACCAGCTGTTGTTGTGGGTTGTGAATAAAAGTTGTTCCCTGGTAGATCCGTTTCTCTGGTATGTTTGTAAGGAAAAGACGATGACTGAGGTTGACTATAACTGTTGTAAGCTAGATAATTGCTATACAGTTCTTGTTTGACTCGCTTTGCATTGCAAATCAATATGAAAATGTTTTATTTCTTTGTGAAATGACTTGAAGAACATAATGTAAGTTTGATCCTTTATTTAGATTGACGGATAGATAACCGACTGATTTTTTGACCATTTCATTTTAACTTTTTACTTCATGATTAATTAACCAATAAAAAAAAAAAAGAGAAAAAAAAGGGGGTAATACATATAAGAAGGCTATAGGCTGCCACTTGATTCTAATGCTTTCGATGTGGTAGCTTTGCTTAATTTTAGGGTTGGAAGAAGAAGAAAAGTATCATCAGAATGAATTACTGGAAGTATTTGACTCTTGCAAGATTGGATCGCTGATAACGTATCGTTTATGGTTTTAAACCCATTGTATATAATCATCAATGAAGCAGACAATTTTTTAGTATAATCTTGAAAAGTCCAACAAAACTATCCAATGTGTGGCGCCACGCTAAACAAGACTTTATAATGTCCCCATCTTGGTTTGTTTCTTTTCAGGAAGAAAGAGATAGAAAAGAAATACTGTTATTTATTCTAATTTTATGCTGTCAGTTCTATCAACAAAGGCCACTTAGCTCACGTGCAAATTATGATATATTCGTATTTTATATCAGAGAGAGTGAGCTGGACAGTCTTAGGTTAGGCAGAGGCTTTGGTAGTGTGGAGTTGTATAGTGACTCCAAATGTAGCGCCCCAAGGAAGTACCCGTAGCATTAGCCTATTTACTGATGCATGTAGTGTTTACTTTTATGAATCTTTTCACAAAAAGACGGCGCGTCAAAATAGATGAAAAGGTAGTTTTAGTAATAATAAGAAGCGTCGTACAAATTGAGAAGCATTGAAAAGTACAATAGGACTGATCGAAATGAACCGTCACTTTTGAGAAACAATGTGTTAGAAATTGACGCGCCCACAAAAATATTTATTATCACGCGTGTGTGTGTGCCTATTTCTCATTTTTATTACAACTACAACATGAGTCTCTGGGCTGATAAATATAAACCTAAATCACTTGATCAACTTACATATCACAATGAACTATCAACTCACCTAAAGAAGCTAGTAATTGCTTAAAGCTGTGGGTTAATAAATCACACTAAAGACTATCTCTTTTTTGTTCTTTCGATAGGCTAATTCAGACAATTTTCCTCATTTACTATTTTATGGACCACCTGGAGCAGGAAAAAAGACGCGTATAGCTGCTGTACTAAGAGAGATCTATGGACCTTCAGCAGAAAAAGTAAATCAAGGAAAACATTTGAATTATATATTGACGATCCTATAGTTGAAAGTAGAACAACGACAATTTGTTACTTCGTCCAACCGAAAGATGATCTTTACTGTTGTTTCGAGTAATTATCACTTGGAACTTAATCCAAGGTATATATATTCTTTTTAAAAAGAGTAAAAAGAGAGAAAACTAACATGGATATTTAGTGATTTAGGCATGTACGATCGTGTTATTGTTCAAGATGTCATCAAGGGCATTGCTCAAACTCAACAGGTTGACGCTAATGCTAGACACCAGTTTAAGGGTATGCATATGCAATTGATATATATATATATATATATATATAGCGGATACTCATATCTATCATAGTTGTTATTATTGATCAAGCAGATGAACTGACAAGAGAAGCACAAGCTGCCCTTCGTCGAACCATGGAAAAGTACACAGCGTCGATGCGTCTTATATTGTGCTGTAATGGTCTCGGAAAAATCATTGCTCCTGTACGATCTCGTTGTCTTTTGATGCGTGTAGCACGACCAGAAACAGATCAAGTCGTTGGTGCACTTTTACATGTAGCTAATAAGGAGGGCCTTCGTCTACCGAAGCAATTGGCTATGCATATTGCTGAACACAGTGAGAGGAATATGCGAGCTGCCTTGTTGGCATTAGAAAGTGTTGCTGTTAGACAGTAAGTTTTTTATTATTATTAATGGTATATGCTTATTTGTGTTTATAGCTCTGATTTGAGTAAAGTAACTGAAGTTGATCCTCTGGATTGGGAGATTGCTATTTCAAAAATTGCCGACATGATCCTACAAGAACAGTCTCCACAACGATTATTAGCTATTCGACAACATTTATATGATTTGATTATCAAGTGTATTCAACCCAGTTTGATCATTAAGAAATTGACATTTTATCTCCTTGACAAAGTCGATCCTTCACTTAAGCTGCAAATTTTAGAAAAGGCTGCCTTTCATGTAACCACACGATGATGATTATTGTCTTGTACTCATGTTTTGTATAGGAACATCGTCTACGTATGGGCAAAAAGGAGATTATTCATTTAGAGGCATTCATTGCTAGTGTGATGCATATTTATAAACGGTTCTTGAGTAGTATGTAAAAATGCCTTTATTGTTGATATATGCTTCATAATAAATATGGGTTTATGCTGCTTCTTGCTTTGTTTCAGTCATGCTCATCTCTTCGTCTACTACTGCTGTAATTTTTGAATACTTTATCTTATTTAATGATAAGTAATATTCAGTGATGATGCAAGCAAAATAGATCTAGGATAAAGTCATGAGTACATTTAAAAAAGAAATATAGATAAACTTACTTGAACCATGCGTATGACGCATAGAATAGTGATACTGACAATACTTTCAGTCTTGAATATATCATCATGTTGTCTTGTTTTATCAGCATCATCGGCTATCTCGGGTAAGCTATGATCCGTAAAGATGAACCATTGAAAGGCAAAATAGACTGTCATCAATGAACTAATGACAAAGTCAACCCAATAAAAGATAGCATAGGATCGTATGAGAGTATGATGATTCTGTTGTTGCATAATTAATATCTTTTATATGTATTTGTCTTGTTGTCTTACGTTGTTAATGCCATAGAGACCAATAGAAAAGATGAATAGAGCTATTAGTGAATAAGCATGTGCCAAGACAGCAAATGGATCGCTGTATTCTAATGAAATAAGTCCATAAAATCCGGATAGTTTGTTCAACTATTATAAGAGGTTATTAAATGTGTAAACTGTATCCATGGCACTAAGAAATACCAGTCCAATGGTAGTAATAAGATAAACACCTATGTCATTATTATAAACAATCAAAAGAAGACCAAACAGTGTTGGTATATTTACCTGTTTTTATTGGCACAAATAGACAACAACTTCTTTTGTTTGATGAAAGCAACATTCTCAAATGTATTGTTTAAACAATAAAGAAACCTAAAAAAAAAAAAGGAAGAAAACAGAAAATGGGCTGTGCTTTAACTTTTCTCTCATTGTCTTTTTTCCCTCGTTAATTAATACAGTAAATGCAAGAAAACCTTACTAAAATGTATACGATAGAAATGAGTCAAAGGTGCTGCTTATTAACACTACCCGTAGAAGTTCAAACAAACATCTTTATTTATGCACAGAATCCAGCTTTAGTACTTACTTGTCGACACTTTTGGCAAATGGGTCAATCCTGTCTGCTGAGAGCAAAGTACTTGGTATTCCGATACGGGAGAGAAGCAGCACTGTCTGAACGATCGATGAAACGAAGAATAGCTTGTCTACCAGTTATTGAACATCTCATCAAACATCTTCACTGCGATACAACCGCAGACGAGTTTTGGCTTTATAGACATGCCTGTGAAACACAAGAGGTTGATGTCTGTCGTTGGATTATTGCAGCTGTGGTAGCAGATAACCTTGCCAATACTTCAACTTTGCTAAGCATGGCTGCTGCATGTGGAGCTGTGGATGTGGTAGATATTCTCGTCGATGAGTTTCATGTAGATCTTAGTCAGCCATATGCTCATGGAAGTGCTTTACGTATGGCAACTGTATACAACCATCTGGATCTAGTGAAGCATTTTGATCAAAAGTACAAGCTGGACTTACACTTTGATGATGAACTGCTGCTAAGGTGCGCTTCATACACGGGTTTCCCAGAATTAGTAAATTATCTTTTGGAAAGGGGAGCAGATGTTCATGCAAATACAGACGCATCATTGGCAAGTGCTGTTCACGAAGGTCATGCCTCTGTGGCTGAATCCTTATTGAAAGCAGGCGCTTCAGCAACAATTCATGACAACTTTTGTGCTCGATATGCTGCTATTCGGCTGCAGGATATTTCGATTCTAAGGAATTTAATAGTCCTTGGTGGCGTTGATCCTCGATTTGATCATGACTGGTTGCTGATTGAAGCATGTAAACGAGGATATATTCAGATTGTGCGATTTTTGTTGAAAGAAATATTATCAGATGACATAGACAGTATCATCAACATGAGAGAAGGGATTTTGTTGAAAAAGGCAATCATTTACGAACAAGAAGCGGTCGTTCATCTTTTATTGGATATGGGAGCAGATGTCAATAGTGGTGGATGTGCTGCTGGAATATATCGTCTATTGAATGCACAGGATCGATCCATGACTGCCAAGAATATTATAAAGTATATTGTTCAGAATGGATTTGATATTGATCAACAAACTCAAGTTATGCAACGTGCGATTAGAGAACTGTTGGTATCCAAGCACACTTGAACATGACATTAAGACCGCGTATGTATGTATATATACACATAAAGCATATGTTTAATGGAGAAGAAAATATACATGATTTGTATGCCCATAGATCATCAGAGTCTATGCATCTTGTTGAAACTACGTCGCCAACTTGGTGATATCAAGCCATACCCTGTGTATACAATAAAAACGGTGTGTGAAAGCATTGATTCAAAGTCCGTGTGTGACTTCAAGCACCACTTTTTTTTCTTCTTTCCCCTCTCATTCTCTGCTTCTCTTTCTCTCAACTCTTTCTCCGTTCAACCCAAGAGTCCGCCTTTAAACTCTTTGTTTCACCACTTTTTTATAATAATCTCTTCTTCAAAATAAGCTTTTTTTCCCTCTTTTCGAAAAATATGAGCGCATCTACGAATGCCACAAAATATAAAAGCATAGCCAGGTGCTATGCTGACGTGAATGCAAAGATGCCAGCAAGCTACTGGGATTATGATAATCTCCAAGTGGAATGGGGGTAAATTAAAAAAAAAAAAACAAGGGGAACAAAAGTAATAATTCTTTGAATATAGCAACCAAGAAAAATATGAAATTATTCGTAAAGTGGGTCGTGGCAAGTACTCTGAAGTCTTTCAAGGCATCAACATTACCAACAATGAAAAATGTGTCATCAAAGCATTGAAGCCCGTAAAAAAGAAAAAGATTAAGCGTGAAATTAAAATTCTTCAAAACTTGGCAGGAGGAACCAATATTGTGGGTCTTTTGGATATTGTTCGCGACCCTATTGTAAGTGCAATTAAATCACTCTGCAAGATGTTTAATATTATGTATAGTCCAAGACACCTGCGATCATCTTTGAATACGTCAATAACACCGACTTTAAAATCCTTTATCCACGATTTACAGTTTATGATATCCAATACTACATGTATGAGCTATTAAAGGTAATTTTACACTGTAACATGATGTATCATTGACACACACACATCACACTTTAAACAGGCTTTAGATTATTGCCATTCAAAAGGTATTATGCATCGTGATGTGAAGCCTCATAATGTGATGATTGACCATGAAAAGAAAGAGGTAAACAAAAAAGAGAGAGAGAAAAGAAGGAGAGCCTTGGTTCACACATACTCTATGTCATTTAGTTACGCTTGATCGATTGGGGATTAGCTGAATTTTATCACGCAGGAACTGCATATAATGTTCGTGTCGCATCGAGATACTTTAAAGGACCTGAACTTTTGGTAGACTTTCAAGAATACGACTATAGCTTGGATATGTGGAGTTATGGTTGCATGTTTGCTAGCATGGTAAGAAGATTGAACATGAATGGTGTACAGAACTGACACATGGCAATCCTAGATCTTCCGTAAGGAACCATTCTTCCATGGTCATGACAACTATGATCAATTAGTAAAGATTGCCCGTGTGCTCGGTACAGATGACCTTTTTAGATATACCGCAAAATACAGTATTAAGCTTGATCCTGAATATGACAACATTTTGGGTAGACATCTTCGTAAGCCATGGACCAAATTTATTACTGCAGACAATCAAGAATTTGCTTCAGAAGACGCACTTGACTTTTTGGACAAGTTATTAAGATATGATCACCAAGAACGTCTTACGGCTAAAGAAGCTATGGAACACCATTACTTTGGTAAATAATTGTCATATTGATAAATTTGTTTTTATTAACACATTCATAGATGCTGTTAGGCAAAATCAGTCTTAAATGATCACTCGTTTTAATTACTTTCTTTTCAATAAATTATGCAAGAAGCGTTTATACTATAAAGAGTCATTATATAGCATGTCCAGTCAGGGAGAAAGAGCACACTTGTAGGAGATTATGAGACAGGATGAGGGGTTTATTTAGGCTGCATATCATCAGACGCTGCTGAAAACGCTGTTAAAAAAAGAGAGAGACATAATACAAATAACTTAATAAATTAAAAAGAGAGAGGGAGAGGAACATCACTGCTTATTGAACGTCTTGTTTCTATTCTTCACCATGCTGATCTTTCTACGATGAGGATCAACCAACTTGAGCTCAAAGATGACTTCAGATCCTGCAAGGCGATCATCCATCACGCCATGAATTCTGTCTGTTGAATCTGGACGTAGGCAGCGAATGTTGTTCCCCGGTATGACCTGTAGCAAATCACCCTAAGGAAATGTGTTAATGAAGAATATTCATAGCAAACAATACTACTTACAGTATCGATGTGTCTAACTTCGATAAAATTGGCATTGAATGCCACAACATAGGGGAATCTGAATGAAAATGCAGTAGGGCTTCCTTCCCAAGAGATGCACCAGTCTTTTCGCACTCGTTTGCCCTTTTTATCAATGTAGAATGCCAATTCTACATAGTGTATTAGTGCCATATGTAAGTGTGATCTAATGACACTTACCGTTATAACACAAAAGTATATTTCCGTCCTTATGTCTAAACATCGAGATCGGTTTCATGTACTCATGTTGAGCGAGAAGAGCATTATTACTGTCATCGTTTGGATCCAACACACCTAAAGAAGTTTAAGTATATGTATCTATCTATCAGAAAGTGACTTACTTTGTACTTCGGCAGAACTCAAATTGACCATGAGAAAGCCTCGCTCGCTACCAACACATATTATATTTCTGAAAAACTGTATAGATGAAGCTTCACCAGGCATATACAGATCCTTGTAGACTTTGAATGCTTCATTATTTCCTCTGATCAATCGACCAAAGTTTTTATGTTTGTGCTTTTTCTTTGACTCTGTGTTTTCATATGGCTCCAAGGCATGAATCGTACAAGACATGGCACTATATCGAACAAAGCACACCAACGTCTTTTCCACACCATTTTGCAGCTCATTTTTTTCTTCCTCAGTTGTAGCAGTAGCAACAGCAGCGGCAATGGCAGCAGGTGACTTGTCCCATATCTTTCCGACTTTGAAAAATGAAACATGGCTGCTGATCTTTCGGCCGCGTTTGATGCCAGTTTCTGTAGAAAGGAGAGTATCCAGTGAGTATGCGTATAAGATCTTGTCTGCCAAGACCAGGATGAGGTTGGATTGTTCAATAATATCAATCTGTGACACTTTGTCCATTGCCAAGATACGGATGAGCTCATCTCCACTACCTTCCTTTTTGAGATAGACACCTTGATCACCACCCAAGACGAGCGACTTTCCATTTTCTATAGTAAGGTAAGTAAAGAAAAAGAAAAAGAAAAAAAAAAGAAAATAAAAAGTTTACCAAACACAGCGATGCAGTTCACCTTGTTGAAGGCACTAAAGAAGCTCTCGTTGATAGGTTGTACATTAAACACCTTGTGCTTTTCAACCAATGCTCGTCTTTGGCCTTCAATTTTGTCTGCCCATTGCTTTCTACCTGTCAAGGTAGGCGCATACAGTGTCATGGGGCCAGAGCTCTGTTTGCCAAGATGCACAAATGAAATAGGGTATCCATTTTTATTGTTGTGGTTTGTTACTGATGTTGTACTTGATATAGTGGTGGAATTATTTTGGATAGTATCTGTTGGACTGGAAGACACGTTGCTTGGTCTTCCTAAAGGTATAATCGTACTGGCTCTTTTTGTCTGATCAGGGAAAGAGATGGACAGTAAGGCAAGTGGTATAGGCTACGGGATGATTTTTAATAGGTTAACTCTATAACAATCTATTATTACCTTGCGATAAAGTTTGTATTTTTCTTCATTTTGCTTCGGTTTTATAATGAGCAAACAATGATCTAATAAATAAACAAGGACATCTGATGACTCTGGTCCTGAACCTTTCTTCCAGGTGCCTTTCATAATAATCTGTCGATTGTCTGCTTGTAAATCAAGATCCTACAAGATGTTGTTTAAGAAAAAAAAAACCAAAAAAAAAAACAGAGCTTCCAAGATAATAGTAGTAATACATACTAGACTAGAGATATGCTTGTTGATTAAACGTTCATCCAAAAGTTGTAGATTAAATCTATTTTCAGTTTTCCCTGTTTCTTTGTTGACATCTGATAAGAATTTCGTAATGATAGTCATTACTCTTGGAATCGTTTCTTGATCTGGATGGTCTTTTGGCGTATGTTTGAGGATCTCACGCAGGAGCAAATTGTATCTGCCCAGACGTGTTGTTGGCTTGGTCAAGTATCCGTTTAATTCCAGTTTACGTGACTGAGGCAAACGCTCGGTCATGTTTACAAATTCAGCAAACGAAGGGTTCGTTGACTTTTCGGTTTCGAATGCGTATTTTCCAATGATTTGATGAGCTCCATATGTGACAAAAGGCTCAAAGTTTGCAACGTGAGATAGCATAATATCACCAATTTTATCGACAATTTTATTGGAAGATTGGCGTTCGAGCAGTGCTTGTGAGAGTTTTGAATTGACTTGATACACCTCCATGACATTCCAAAAGATGGTTTTCACCAAACTTTCTCTGTCTCCTGTCACCTCAGAGTTCTCATCCAGTAAAGGATCAATCCAATACTATAACTCGTGTTTTAATATTCACCCTTTCCATAACAAATACACACGTTACCTCTTTCATGTAGCGCAGGTCGTCAACGAAATCTTTTTCTGTATAGATAAGCTCGAATATATTTTCCTGGCGCTTCTTCTCATCCTTGGTTAATGTGTCTAGTAAAGATTGTGGTACTGTATTGATCCATAATCTATCCTCTTGCTGTTGTGCGATCATATAGGACTGACTCGCTTCGCGAGAATGGCTCTTGGAGGCATTCTTCTTGGCCTGTTCCTGTCTGCGAGGACACCTTACGGAATAACATAGTTTATCTCGTGTACATGTAGGAGAGTAACAATCTGTCAAGAGAGTAAATACACCTGTGGGCAGAGACTCTTCTGAGCTCTCTTGTCCAACATTCAGCTCAGAGGCCGAGTCACTTCTCAGATCAGACAGCACCTGTTGCTGAGGATAAAATAATCCACTGATAGGCCTTACATTCTCTTTAAACTGGTATAACTCTTGGCTTGAGTCCCGTAGCCTGTGTTCATAGTTGACATCGTGAAAGAACTTTTGTGCGTCCAAAGCTCGACCTAATAAAAGGGCCAGATTACGATCACTTGATTTAATCAATCCGCACAATTTGTCCTACAGCAATAAAATTAGAGTTTACACTTGGCTCCCGTTGTGCCCCCAAGAGAAAACGTACCACGGCTTCTTTGCCATCAAAAACATCTTTATACTTGATACTATCTTTTGTCTTGGTTGAAAGAACGATGGATTCTTTGAAAGCTTCTGCTACTTTTGATAACAGGGCTGGGTAGATCGATGGCAGACGTTCTTTGATCATGGGTAGTGAAGCTGGCTCTTCGACGAGGGTAGATGACACGATCATATTGGCAGTGGAAGAAGATGAAGCAGAGGATGAGGCAGATAGAGAACGAGGAAAATGATGTGTGCTCGAGTGAGATCCGTTGCTGTTCATGCGAGGTCCATACAGAGGTCTAGTCAACGTCACTGAAGACGGGACTGAGACCGGCATATTATAAACACTCTCCGCAACGCGTTTCCTTCCATTGAATGATAATGAATGATGATCTCGAGAATGTTCTATAATTAAGGTTATTACTCTACACACATATCCCCTTGTCCTGTTCTTTTTTCTTACTTGAAGAAAATGCAGAGAGAGCGGATAGTTTTGCTCGCATAGGTGCGGTTGACTTTGACAGTTTGGACAGTAAGCTCATGCCTCCGGTTGTCTTTACACTTGAGTTATCAGTTCTAGAGTAATTATCACGCACAGGTACAAAGGGCTCCAGCTTCTTCTTTTCTTCTGATTTCGATTGACCGTTTTTCGAACGAAATAAGGTTCCGGATCTTGATACCTTTTTAGCAGTTTTGACAGCGAATGAATTCAGATTGCTTCCCAATGTGGTGGATCTTCCTTGTAAGCGATCATCGACGGTTCGAATACTGGTAATAGAATTGGCATCATCATTATACTCTGTGTGTAGTGAGATGACAGAGTCACCGACGCTATAGATACTTGGAGCACCTTCTGGTTTTGTGCAAAGTTCGCTTTCGCCAGGGCGATAATCAAGAATGTCACCAGCGATATGATCCTCTTCATATATAATGTCCTCCTCATCCATGTCACTATTGTTTTGCAAATAGCGAGTTGATTGATAGTATCTATCTCGAATGGCAGCTGAAGGAGTCAATTCAGGATGTAATATATCTGTAGACGTAAAATAGGCGAGTGAACTTAGATTGTCGATAGTATAGCTTCGTTTATAATCAACAACCATGTCATCATCTTTATCTGATATAATACTCGCGGTAGTAGCTGTAGTTGTAGTAGATGAAGATGGTAGTTGATATCTACTATAAATATTAGTTGAAGAAGGAGAGGTTCTTAAGGTTGGACCTTGTTCAGTTGCCATAACTCGAAAAAAAAAATAAAAAAAATGTATAAAAAATAAAAAGGAAAGTGTGGAGAACTGGGGAAGAAAGGAAAGAAGGAAAAAAAAAAAGAGAAAAGAAAAGAAAAGAAAAAAGGAAAGAAAAAGATTTGAATTCACAAGTGTTTATTTTTATCCTAAATAACCTTTTACAAATAAATAAAAAAGGGGAGGGGGAGGGCAAAGTGGAGCAACACTCTTTCGCACACAAAATAAGCTGTCGGTCATTTAATCAAGTAGGTCAATTTCCTTTTCTTGGTCGTGAGCAACTGTTCTTCATTTACTGAAGTTCAAATTTATTACTGCCTTGGACCTGTCAAAGAAGCTTCAACCGGTGTAGCTCAAGAACCCTTCTTTTGTATAAGCTAGTCTTGAATTGATAAACTATTTCTTCTTTTACCATGTGTTTGTTTAAACATGTGTCCTATATCGGAGGAATAAATATTTATTACTATTTTTCTTTTTCTCTGTTTTTCTTAAACAGAGGGCCTATGTATTGTTAGTCTTTTTATTATTCTCTTTTTCGCATGTGTATCATATCCTAATAAAGTCAGCCAAGCAGAAAATATTAAAAGAACAACAAGCAGAGATTATACGTTGTGGCGCTCATCATTTCATGTCTCACAGTATCATGCAACTTTCCACTTTTAAATAATGTTCTTTTTATAGTTTCTCTTATTCTTTAGACAAGTGCTCATTCTTTTCCGTTAAACATTACAGTGTAACCGTCTCTGTAACAAACTTATAAAGGTTATTTTTAACCCTCAAGGAAGCTTAGACTATAACATCTAAGCTGTGTCTTCACTATCCTCACTTTTTTTTATCCCCTTTAATCATTTAACCAAACTTATTTTGGTTAAAGAGATTGAATGCTAGACATTTTCATTGGATTAATCAATGCAAAGGTAGACCCGAATGTTACATCTATCAAAATACAAAAACCTGCTGAATGGGGAAAGTCTAGAAACTCAACTTCAGCTCACGTGGTACAGTAAACTTGTCATTGAGCTTTTCACTTGTAACTGTGTCGTTGTCTAGGGCCACCATTATCCACTTGATTTTAAGATAATAATTGCTGCAATTTTTAGATTGCCTTATAAATAATCCCTAATAAAGTATTTTGTTAGGGATCGAACCATGGGCGTATCAATCACATGTTTTGGTATTTTGATCTCCTTGGCGATCTCTTTTTTTGAGTCTCAGTGATTGGTTCAAACGGAGTTCTCTTCACTTCTTTAGCCGTATCTCGTTTACCCTTTTCCCGGTTCTAGAACCCTGACACGTAAAGAGCATGACTTTGTTTAAAATAGAATCAATAGTATATCGACCATGGCTGTGTTGGATGCATCATTAAACTATACTGATTACTGCCTTGAGTCACGTGTCGTCGCTATATGAAAAGTAGCGCGCAAACGCGATACTTTTGGAATCAGGTTCGTGTTTTCTCTTTTTTTAAAAAAAAATAAATCAATTTATACAATGCCTGCACGTAAAACCAACAAAGAATTACCTAGAAAGGAAGAATCCAACGATCTCAAGGGCTTAAATAAAACAAATCGTTCATCTTCAAAAGATAAACTAACCATTTCAGTGACAGAAAACTCATCACCAGGTAAAAAACAAAGAAAAGTAACAACAAAAAAAGACAAAATGATTCACCATTGATTCATTATAGAACAAATACTTCGTTCCTCATGGCTCTTTCTTTCTACATTTCAATTCTTTTTTCTCTTTCAAGACTATTTCGAGCTTTCTTCATTGAACATTGAACAGTTAGAAAATGCAATGATGCAGCAGGAATCAAACGAATTCTTGAAACAATTCATGTGTCATGTACTAACACCACTCTTGAGTTCGAATCAGCGTCGAGCAATCAATCCCGACAACTACGAGCAATACTTATTTACTCTGTTCCCTGAATTTGGTCCCAAGTTTCAAAAACTTCATGTCGTCGATAGAATTCAACTATTGAAGAGAATCGAAGAGGCACACTTGGAAAACAATAGTGAGGACTTTTTGGCTTGGAAAAATTCAATGGATGTGAATGAGTTGGTAAGAATCAATTGATACATATAAAGCAAAACACATTAAGCTCTATTTGTCGTAGAGAGTTGCACCACTAGGAAAAGATGACGCTGGATGGAATTATTGGTATTTTGGGGGTATACATACATACATATATAGCATGATATGAAACACATGAACATCCAATTATTATAGATACGCGACTTTATAGAGAGATACCTGTTTCGAATGGGAAAAAAGGCTTAAAAGAAATAACAAACAATCAGTTTACGTTTGAACTTGTAAGGATAGACCGAAGTATTGTCTGTAGATAACCAATACTATTTATCATAGGTCTGCTCAAATCTAGAAGACTGGGAGCGCATTGTAGAGTCATTTAGAACTGCTAAAAGGAAAGCACGAGAATTATCAGAAAAGATTATTGAACTGGGAGAAGAGATGATTGCCAGGATAAAATCACGAGAGGCAGCTAAACTGAAGCAAGAGGCAAGATTAAAAAGAGCAAAGGAATTAGAACAGATACCCAAGAAGAGAAGTAGAAGATTAGAAGCCAAAGTAAGTATAAGGAGAAGAACGATAACAGTGGTAACACGTTTGATAGTATGAGGAAGAAGCAAAGCGTCAAAAGGTGGAAGAAATAGCCAGTCAGCAAGCTATATTAGAAGAAATTGAACGACAAAAAAGAGTAAGGGAAGCCAAACAGCAAAGAGAAGAGGAGCAACGACAGTATAGGACAGAGGATGCACGATTAAAGATGGACGTGTCTAATTATATCAAACAAAAGATGAATGAAGCAGAAGAAGATGATGAGAGATTAGAATATAAACAACTAAAGAATCAATTACACAAAGACGCGAGTAGACAAGAGAAGTTAAAAAAGATGAGAGGATGGCTAAAGTTGCTAAAGGAAGATGAAGAGATTTCAATAAGCTTGAAGGTAGATAAAGAGAAGCAGATCACATTTGAAGGCGATAATAAAGGTAAATCTTATATTAATACGATCATCCGCCTTATCTAATCATATTTAATGCATACACATAAAGCACTTGAACATATCTTGTTTAAAATGATGTTACGACTATACCTTTTAGATCAAGCTGATGAATCATTCACAGAAGTTTATAAAAAGCTACTACTCAATAAGTACAGATCGCTCAAAGACTTTTGCGCTGACATGAACGAACTGGAGGATCATGATACGTCTTTCCTTGTGTCTGCTTGGAAAGATAAATAAACATATCATTAACTTAAAGCTTAAAAATACAACATGTGCAGTAACGATGTCATAGATTTCTACTTTCATCGATAAACGTTTTACATCTGATAAAGAGCTGATAGTACAACGATTTACTAGCTATTTTTTCATTATTATTTTGAGAGATTTACTTTTACCAAACGTACTTGATGTATAAGAGAGAGAAAGAGAATAAAGCAAAAGGATCAGTCGGTTCACTACCGTCACTAGTCTCCTTTTTGACTATTTTTAGATCTGCTCAGCAAAATAAAGTATTTACTTTAGCCAAAAAAGGCTCGAGTTTACAAAAGGGAAGGAGTGTCTATATTTCCCCCTTTTACTCTTCATTTATTCACTTTATTCAAACTTGGATTTTGTAGTATTTAAAACAAGCTGTTCTTTTCAATTTCATACAATATAAAATCTGACTATGAAAACTCCCTGTTCAGACAAGACTTTGTTGCTGTTAAGCAGTTACTTGCACTTTGCAGCTATAGAGAGATTTAAAGTAAAATCATAAAAGCAGATAGAAGAGAATTTTTAGTAGATGAAATTGAACTCTGTTGTATAAATATTTATGGTCTTTTTATAGCTTAATTTTTAACACACGCTGAGCTTTTATGAGAAAGCAAGAGTTGTCATTAAAAATAAAGAGATCCTTGTCCCTACAAGTTGATCTTGTAGTTAATGAGTTGTCTTTTGGTACTCATGTTGAGTCTATTGTCATAATTTATTTATTATGGTTATTTCAAAGGGCTTTTATGCTTCTTTTTACTACTGGATGGTCATGTAAATAAGATCAAAGACAAAAACAAATAATAACAAAACACAAATATTATTTATTTTAGTCCTTATTATTTACACAAGACACTGGCTCTGGTCTGTTTTATATAAATGAACAAAATTGAAATATATTCTTGGTAGAAATAAAATATTTCTTAACCTTTAAGCAGTAAAGCATTTAAATTTGAGTTGAAAATATGAAAAAAAAAAAAAAAAAGATACAGGAATATTTATTTTTAAATAGAATTTTACAGTTACTCTCCTAAGTATTAAACCATTCTAATGGTTCTATTTTTCTAAATTTCAGTCAGTATAATTTAATACATCTTTGATTGAGGTATTTCTTGACTGTTAAACCTATCCTTCTCTCCCCCAATTGTTTTGTATACAAGACAGTAAAATGATTTCTAAGCAATATATACGTATTTGTTTTTGATATGGGATTGATTTATATGCAAGTTATAATCAATAAACATTACCAATTTTAAGTATAACAAAAGAATATAGTTACCATAAAGAAATGTATTGCAATACAAAGACGTATCAAAAAGCGGTTAAAATTATAAGAAAAAACAGTACCTTTGGACGCTTTATTAGAAGTTATTGTTGATACTTTTCATTTGTCATGATCATTTTATAAATGTATCTGCAATGAAATCTTTACTATGAATAGCTTTAAAATTACAAAGCAAAATGAGGATTAACAACAAAGAGACCCCTATCCTATGAGTACGAATCATGAATATCGCACCTTTAGATAGGCATAACTAAAAGAATTGCGGATGGGACCTTTTACATAAAAGTCGATTATCTTTTTGATCAAATGCTGGCCAAATAAAGCCAATTTGTGGTTCTTTAATGACTAACACTACAACGCAGAGCTAGCCTCGAGTTGAGTTAAAGGTATATGCTTTATTATCCAGATATATATATATATATATATAGTAGAGCGATGGCTCACAAGAGTTTATCGCTAGATTATTTGAGAAAGTTATTGCCTATTTACCTGTAGATGGTATTCATAAGACGTCATTATTGTACCTTTTGTACAGTGTTTCTATTTCAAATCCAGACGATGTTAGACGGATCAAAATGTAAGTTTAGACGAACTGCTTACCTGCTTTGTACAAGATAAAAATGAACTCCAGATAAGAAAAAAGACGCTAGTTTAGAGACAAGCTGAATATGATAATGACATCTTACCGGAAATATAAGAAAAATATAGTTTGTGAGAAGAAATTGAAATTGATGGTGAATTGTGGGTTTTGTTGATGAGGATTTGAAAATAAACATTTAGCAAATGATAGTAAAAATCAGTCAAATCAGATTCGCTTTTCTTCCTTTTCGGGTAATTTGGTATGCCACATTGTTTCACCAGCCTCCAAAAAGCTTGAGCACCAATTTAGATTGATTTTGTCTGAACGGAATGTATAGGCGCAATAGAAAAAAATGACATCCTCTTTTGTCAGTGTATTTAGCAGGAGTCAACGTGCCATCTAGTATTCTTGTTTTAATTGTATCAATAAAACTTTGAACAACTGATACTTGTTGAGGAGTAAGCTTGGCTAGTTTTTTCCCTAGGGCAAATGTCTTGTTGGAATTGATTGACCGCAGTGTTTCTTCTCTTAAAGAATTAAGCTTCTTTTTGCTCAAAGCACCAGTGAATAGAAACTTTCTGAGCTTACGACACACATATGCTTTGGAAGAGACTCTTGAGGGTACGTTTTCTATAATAAAAACTTTTTTTTTTTTGCACTTCTTGCAACAGAAAATAGAACCACTTGAAAAACAGGCGAGGCTTTGAGTAAAGTGTATCGGAATCACATTGATCTGGCTGGTATTTAGACCACATGTTTGCTATGTTTCCAGTGATTCCTTTATAGTAGCTACTGCATGGGGCAGACGATGACCAAGGTGGCTCTGAACCTTGGTTTTGTTTGTAAATGAAATATGCCAAGGTTTTTCTGGAAGCCACTGGGAGCTCTTTACAACAATTACTTGAATTGTTGTCAGACATCATATTCAGAAAGCATGTTATCGATCTTCGTCCGTGTGTCTCGTGAATGTGGTTTCTAACCAGGACTTCGTATTGCTTACCAGCGATGGAAAGAATACTTGAATAGTTTATACTTTTTAAAGAGTCGCGGTCTACAGTTGTCAATTCACAGAAAAGAGTGAAGTATTCTTTGAGATAGTTTGGTGCTCTCTATCCATTTCCAGTCATTGCCGCAAATATATTTGTGAATAAACTTTGTTCAATAATTGGAATAGCCTGACCATCATCAAGCAGTTTGATGAAGACGAAATTGGCAAAGAAGGACCCCACAAACAAATTTTTGGTGGTATGATCTGCTAGATTTTTGATATGCTGCACAAGTTGTCGATTGTTACAAACATTAGGTAAGGAAGTCTTAATTGCAAAGCTTTCAACTCTTTCATCAGGATTGCAAACAGGCCTTTTGCTTTCTTGCTTGGGGACAAGTTGCTCGTTGATCGTGCATGTGACGTCAATCCACATGAGGGGCACTTGACTTCCTTTAGAGTCTTTTGTTCTGTTTTGAATTTTAAAAGTGCATTTTGCTTATCAATCTTTTGTTGTACTTTTTTCGATAGCTCTGGTGCACTCGAGGAAGAGAAGACACTTTATTGATTTACTGTGCTGGAATGATATTCGTCTTGAGTTGGCGTTACTGTACCTATACCAAAATAATGTTAAACATTGACAGATAATTAACAGGATTGAGTGCTTTACGTTCTTTTAGCTCTGCGACTTTTGAAAGCCTTTCCGAGCTGGATGATGTAGAGTGTCTTTTCATTTGAAGCAAAAAGAAGAGCAAAAAGTGAAAGAGATTATTGTTGTTCATTTATCAAAATTCATTTAATCAATAAAATCACGTCCTTTTTTCAGGTTCAATAAACTTATGCTGTCATAGCATTTGGCATTGGCTTTGGCGTGGAATCAAACAGCTTAGTGAATACAGTGACATAAGATGATCTTTACTACAAATATAACTTGAACGACGGGTGCTGCCTCTTCTTTAGGCTTTATTCACAGATATACTTTTATTCAACCGTTCAGGTTGTGAATGGTGTTAAGGTTGTCTTTTATGAAGATTTAGCTTAAATATCCCTATTTCAGTCTATAATATTGATAGCATATTCAACTTGTCTCTAAACTAATTTACTATTTTATCGTCTAAAGAAAATATCATCTTGGCTTAGATTGATAATCAAAGACAAAGAGCGGATCAGGCCCACCAATTTTTATTTATTGTAACTCCGACTAATCTAGCTTTTTTCTCTTTTTTTTTTTTCTTTCTTTCTTGTCTTTATCCCGAGAACAATATGCAACGCACACCTCCATTATCAGCCTTTGCAAAGACAGGGGATAATATAATCTTTGAAAATGCTGCTGTGGGTCACCAGTTGGGCGTTGACCGTAACGACATGGTTGCTCCAGGTAAAACAAATGACTTGACGTACCTTTACTTTTATCTAATACTCCCTCTTTCAAACAGACGTTTCAAGAGTCCTTATTATTTATACAGGAGGAACTATTGGTATGAAGCATACCCCAGAACATGGCTACATTCCTGTAAGTTGTCATTTGTAGATCTATGTTGATCTAATGTCAAGCTTTTTCTTTAAAAAAAAGCTTCCCAATTATTTAGCCGAATCATTGTCCAAAGTAAAACGTTTTCATGACCCTCAGGATAGCCCCACTCTAAGTGGATTGACAAGAAGTTCATCAACCGATAGTTTAGACAGTGTGTCAGCATCCTTCAGTAACTTCAAAGTCAAAGAGTTTGGACAAGTCACCAATACGGTCAAAGCCATTGAACGCAAAGGACCAGAGGCAGGACAGGTCAAGACGTTTCAATTACCTAGTCTGATCACGCCTGTCAGTTTGTTTGGGAAGAGAATCAGGTAAAGATAAAGTTTAATAAATTTCCCACAGAGAGTAACACATCTGTCTAGATATTCTATTTTAGAGTACACACCTCTTTTAGATTCGTGTGACATTACGATGTCAGGTAAAAGAAAAAAGAAAGTACTTGTAAGAAAGAGAAGAGACTTATGATTCTATAGATTGGGTCCGTATTGCGGGCGATATTGAAGCCAACTACCAGCTTTATGATGCCTTTATTGTACTTCATGGCACAGACACAATGGCTTATACCGCCAGTGCACTAAGCTTCATGCTGGAAGAACTGGGAAAAACAGTCATTATTACGGGTTCACAGGTTCCGCTGACGGAGGTTAGAAATGATGCTGTAGAGAACTTGCTAAGTGCCTTAACAATTGCTGGTCATTTTGTTATTCCTGAAGTATCACTTTACTTTGGAAAGAAGTTGTATAGAGGAAATAGAACAAGTAAAATAAGTGCTGTTGATTTTGAAGCGTTTGATTCACCTAATTTACCTTCACTCGTGGACGTTGGTATTAATATTGGTAAGTTACAACATGTTTTGCAATGTCTTTTTTGCTCATTTTTATTAGATGTAAACTGGCCACTTGTTCTGCGTCCAACACAAATTGCTAAATTTCATGTCAATACTCATTTAAACCCTAATGTCGGCTCTTTACGTTTATTCCCTGGTATCAGCAGCTCAACCATCAAAACATTTTTAGCTCCACCTATTCAAGGCATTGTCTTGGAAACGTTTGGAGCAGGTAATGCGCCCTGTCGCGCTGATTTATTAAGCGCATTGAAAGAGGCCAGCGATCGAGGTGTCGTGATTGTCAACTGCACACAATGCCGCAAGGGTCTCGTGACTGATGCATATGCCACAGGAAAGCAATTGGCTGCAGTGGGTGTCGTACCTGGTGCTGATATGACACCAGAATGTGCGCTGACGAAACTTGCTTATCTCCTTGGCAAATCTCCTGATAATCCAGACTATGTTCGAAAGATGATGACCAGAAACCTCCGAGGAGAACTGACGGTACGTACGCCTTATCAACGGTTTACTGCATCTATGGGTCGAACAAGCATGTTGTTGAATATCTTTATGAAATATGCTGCACATAGTAAGGTAGCAGCACGAAAGGGGTTAGAGAGCGGCAATCACATGGTAAACGACCAAGACTTGACCATGTCGGTTGAGGAGGAAATATTGGCCCAGAAAGCGCTTAACCCTGTGTTACTCTGTTCAGCGGTCAGTGCAAATGACCTGGATGGTCTCAAATTGTTAGTGGAAGGAATGGAAGAAGTAGTGAATTTGAACTGTGTTGATTACGATGGTAGAGTACCCCTTCATGTAGCTTGTCGTGGGGGATACTACAAGATTGTAGAGTATCTTTTATTACATGGTGCATCTATCCATGTTCGTGATCGGTCGGGTCACACACCGCTATTTGATGCAGTAGTCGAGAGACATGCGGATGTAGTAAACATTTTGAGAGAGGCTGGTGCTCATTTAGCAGAGAGTGAGATTAATGATATGGGCCCCTATTGGTTTAAAGCAATCAAGACAAATAACCTTAGATGGGTTCAGATAGCACTCGATGCTGGCTTTGATGTTAATTGGTGTGACCCTATTGAAGGAAGACACGGATTAGATATCGCAATATGTCAAGGAAGACTGACTATGTTCAAGACACTCATCAACCATCCCAATATTGATCTCAATTCTGTAGATAAATGGGGAATGTCTACTTTGGATAAAGTACAGATGCTCAAGGATAAAGCACCATCGAACTTGGAATCTTTAAAGAAATCTGAAGCCTTGGAAGAAATGGAAATGATGATTAAAAACAGAAAATAAACATGTTACCATGACCACTCTTGACTTCTTGATAACTGTGCTGGTCTGGAACTCAAATCAAAGTTAGCCTTGATGTAGTCTAGGAGAATGGTGCTAAATTCTGGAGAGGCTAGTCAGTATATGTCTGTATATTCAAGTCGTATGACTGGATGATAAAGAGTTTAGATTCAGCATCCCTTCGTTATCATATACCTTTCTTGATTCTAAATTGTCCAGAGAGTCTTTATATTTGATTCTTTATGACTTTGTAGCTCTCTCTTTTGTTGATCCATACCATGTGCCTGATCGAACTCTGACAATAAGGCAGTATTTTATAAATTTTGGTCCTATATTTCTACATCACTGGACATCTATTTGTATTTGAAAATTGTTAGAAAGAGAAAGAATAGTCTTTGCTGATTATTATATATTAATTAAAACAAGAAGAGGTCCTGTTTAACACAAAAGAAGGATACACAAGCCTCTGGGCTCAAGGTTAAACCATGATAAAGTAAACTAAAAAGTTAAAGAAACAGATAGCAAAAGTAACTAGCAATATTAAAAGAGTACAGATCATTTTTTTACCAGTTGAAACATTTTCACATGTGCCCAGCTGTAAATGGTTGAGATATCATAAGCACAATGCAGATGATCATAATAAAACGCTATTAACTAGTTTAGAAAGGAAAGGAATAAAGCTTTAAAAAAAGTTGTAGTGCGCCTGTGTAGCGCACCTAACATTCGCCGTTATTTGTGTCACTCTTTGATGTCACAAAATGGTTTAATTTCCGCTTGAAACGTTTTTTTATTTTATTTTTATTTTCTTCCCTCCTCTCTTTAATACCATTTTTTTCTTTCTTTATTGAATCACATAAAACGAGTGATATAAATGAACCAACAAAACCCAAATATTATCAATGTCACTCAACCAAATCAACAACAGCAACAACCAAATCAACAGCAGCAGCAACAACCACAAATGCTGCAACCACAACAGGGCCTCAACTTGAGTCTGCCAAATGATACTTCAAATGCGAACTGGCGTGAAGAATTAAGCGTACATGATAGAGCTCGTTTTGTTGCACAACTGTAATAAAAGGAAATTAAATATGTTATATAAATAACACTAACTTGATTTATTAAAAAAAGGGGGAACGCCTTGAAACACCTATCTCCTAACACAGCAGATACAGACATTTTTGCAGCAGCAAAGAATTATGAACTTAGTCTTTACACAAGATGTACAAGCAAGGTATATATTTACATATACATTATAAATATCTTTTTTTTAATGTATACAACTTTGTAGAATCAATATATCATGGCATATGCTAAAAAATTTCATCAAATCAAGTTTCAACTACAAAATCAAACTGGCGCAAATAACAGTGCTGCAGCCACCTCCATGATAAATGATAACCAACTTTTAAATATGAACCCACTCACTGTTCAACAAATGTCCCCATTGTTACAGCAGCAACAGCCACAATCACAAAGTGTATCCCCTCAAGTTCAACCAGCTGTGCAACCACAGATACAAAAACCTTCTCCTTTAAGTCAACAGCAACAGCTTCCTCCACAGCAACAACAACAAGCAAACATAAACAATCAAAATCAACTTCGAGCAAATATGTTCCAACAAGGTATGCTTCAAGCAAGGCCGCCTGCACAACAACAAACACCACCTCAACAAAATCAACAGCAGCAGCAACAGCAACAGCAACAGCCGCAACAACAGCCGGGTCAGCAGAATATACCGCAGCAATTAAACGCGCAGCAAGCACAAATGTTAGCCCTCCAGAGAACGGCTGCTCAAGCAATGGCGGCTGCTGCTGGAACTAATCCAAGTAATAATAATAATAATAACATGATAAACAATGTGGCCAACATGAATACCACTGCTCAACAACAAATTCCTGTTAATATGCTTCAACAACTAAATATGGCAAATGCGAATCAAGCTGCCATGACCATGTCGCCAAGACAATTCCAAGCATATCTTACACGTCAAATCGCACTTCAACAACAGCAACAACAGCAAAGTGGACAAAGTACGCCACAAATGACATCTCAGCAGCAACAAGGTACACCACAGTTTAATAATGCAAATATTGATCCAACAAGCATTATCAATTTAAATATGGCACAAAATTTCCGAACGCCAGCTTCGGGTATTAATACAACAACTACACCAATGCAACCTAATAATTTTCAAAATACGGTAAGCATACGCGTGTTATATAATAGGAAGTACCTTGTTTTAATTCATATCCTTTGTACAGCCAAACCATCAAGTACAGAACCTGATAGGACAACAGCATTTGACTCCAGAGCTTTTGATGCAGCACCTTCAACAACAGCAACAACAGCAACAGCAGCAACAGCAACAGCAGCAACAGCAACAGCAACAGCAGCAACAGCAGCAACAGCAACAACAGCAACAGCAGCAACAACAACAGCAACAACAGCAACAACAGCAACAACAGGCACAGTCGCAATCTCAAGCTCAGGCCCAGGTTCTAGCGCAAGCCCAGGCTCAGCAACAGGCACAAGCAAAGGCTCAGGCATTAGCGCAAGCTCAGGCTCAGGCTCAGGCCCAGGCTCAGGCTCAGGCTCAGGCTCAGCAACAATCACAGCAGCAAGCCAAGCCTCCTCAGCAGCCCTCACAACCAGTGCAGCAAACACAGCAACCATCTGTTGCGCCTAACGTACAGCTGAATGCTGGTACAACCGCTAACCCGATCAGTAATGCAGCGACTGCACATCCTTCTCTACAGCAACGAACACAAGCTGCTGAATATGTTCGTCAAATGGATGAAGGTGTTCGAAACACAAGAGGTATGTGTACTTCTCTTGATATGTTCTTTTTTCTAAAAAAAAATTGATCATGATTGTTTTTAGTTCGTGCAAATCCTATCGAAAACATGTCCGAACAGGAAAAGACGGCTATTCGAAATAGTGTAGCAATGATCAAGCCTATGTATGAAAAAATTGATAGTCTACTGCCTGTCTTCTTTGCACTAACATCAAATGTGGAAGCTACAAAACGATTGATGCTGATGAAATACATGTTTGAAGACCAGTTGACTGCACTTCAACAGAATAGATATGTTATTACTTTGGAACATTTAACAAAACTTCGTGAACAATTCAGTGGTTACTTCTCTTGGGTTCGTAATGCTGTTGGAGCCCACAGTCAGCAGCAGCAACAACAACAACAGCAGCAGCAAGGCCCTACACAGCAATTACAACAGCCTCAGCAGCAGGTGCAGACAGACTTTAATCAACAACAACAGTTACAAAATCAACAACAGTCGCTGCATGTACAACAACAATTACAAGCTGCTAAATTAGCTCAAGCACAGGCACTTGCACAAGCACAAGCGCTGGCAGCCCAACAACAGCTGAAACAACAGCAACAACAACAAAACAACACTCAAAATCCAGCTGTAGCGACTGCTGTCCAAATGAATGAAGCTCATTCTGCAGCTGCTACTCCAACTATGCCTCCAGCTGGTCAAATTGGAATAAAACGTGGTAGTATTGATCTTAAATTACCTCCAAACAAGAAGCAAAAGGCTGGAAGCGTCACAGGTACCCCACAACAGACGACAATTGATTTGACGCAGACTCCTCAGCAGCAACATGCTGTTGTTCAGGAAGCTCCCACAATATCAGCAGCAACAACGACGCCTACTGCTACTGCTGCAGTTCCAACAGGGGCACCTAGTAGTGAAGCTATTGCTAACGCGAATGCTGCTATTGCTACAGCTAATCCAGCAGGTATGACGCTAAGTCAACGACAAGCCCAATCTCAGATGATATACCAAGCCGCTATTGCGAGCGGAATTCCTCCACAAATTGTCAACCTTTTGCCTCCTCGTGCATTACAATGTAGCTGGTTATTACAACAGGCAGCTCAAAACCGAATTACTTTAACGACAGCACAACAGCAACAAATTCGTAATATGCTGAATGAAAGAATTGAAGCTGCCAAACAACAATTAGCCAAACAGACTATGGACACTCAGCAACAGCAACAGCAACAGCCACAGCAGCCACAGCAACCTCAGGCACAGATCCAGATCCAGACACAACCTTCTCCTGCGGCAGTGGCACATGCCAGCCCTTCAATAAAATCTCAAGTCAAAGCTCCTGTTAATGATGTGCAATCAGTAAAAGCAGAGCCTACTACAGACTTGAAGAGTTACGAATCGGCTCAAAAAGCTGCCAACATGATGCATCTATTCCGATTGCAACAGCAACAACAAGCTCAGCGACAGGCCCCTACTGTTTCTCAACCTCCAATTCAACCATTACAACGACAACAGCAACAACAAAGCACAACAACTATACCCGCTCAAACACAGCCTATACCACAATCATTAGTTCAGCCAGCTCAGCCTATCCAAGCAGTAACGCCGCCTGCCCCTCAACCTAAAATGATTGTGCCCTCCCCAAGGCCAACACCTACGCCTGGAGCTGCCTTAAAAATGGCAATGCTAGCAGGAGATGTCAAATACCAAAGCTCTATGCTTTATATCAATGACATGCAAAAGGACGTAGAGGCTCTTTTTGCTCGTGCTGATCAACCCAAATCATCCAACAAGACAGAACCATTCTTTAATGGAACTAAAGGCACATTGTTATTTGAACCTTTCCCACTTGATGATTTTGAAGATGATAAGGAAGAAGAGGAAAAGAATAACGTGCTAAAAGAAGAAGACGTCATGGATACTTGGTATAAAGTTGGCATGGATACTGGTGTACCTGAAATGCACGATATCTTGACAGGCTTTTCTTTTGATGAATGTGCTGCTCAAGCTTTTATTTCAACCTAAATTCCATCCCTTTTTTAATAAAAATAAAATTGCATTAACAAATAAAGCTGTAATAACTGGCCTGTGCATTGTAGAGCCTAGCCTAAATTGGTTCTTTCTACAACAGTTTTTGGGAGGAGGGAACAGAGATGAAATATCGTCCAATCAGAAATAAAATGTCGCCTCTTAGTTTTTCTGAGAAAGCTTTTGATTGTTTTTATTATCTATTGCAGCCCTTATGAGAGGAAGAGGCCTTTTTTTTTTATAAAGATGGTTAAAATAGTATATATGTACTGATTTTTAATGATCAGCACTATATGCACCAGAAAATAGAGTAAATAATGTCAATACGAATTTATCATTACACGCAATTAATCAAACTGACAACATAAATAAAGTTAAAATAAAGCAATAGCAATACTTCTTTTCACCTTTATAAAATCATGTTTAGTGTGGCGCCATACATTGAAAAATTTTGTTGGACAACATCGTAGGTTGTATCTAGAGGTAGCACCCGTAGCATTAGTCTAACTTCGGGTGTGTTTTCTGACGCATGTAGTGTTTCTCTAAAAGAATTCAAGCGACTGAACAAGACAATAAGGTCGATCTGCACATGGTGCAGCTGTAGATATACATAAACACCAACATGCTGTAATGAGTTACTAATACCATATATTTATTTAGGTTACCTGCGTTTGTCACTGGTTCTCATGATAGTTCAACAGAAGTCTCCCATGCACACCATTATTTACTTCAGTCAATTTAAAGTACGAATAAGAAACTCACTGTTCGATGGTAAGTTAGTAGCTTTTATGGCAGCTTTTGTGGAAATAGATGACTAACTTACATGTATTTGATACATTTTCATAGAATCAATGGAGCCTTAAATGAAGATTCAACGTTCAAACCTGAGTTTCAGGTCTTTAGCCGCTGCATTAATATAAGATTTATCGTTATTGTGGCAAAATTCAAATCCAAGTCTCGTAATTCAGCCGTAAAATCTGACTTAATCAAATTAGGAAAGCAGATGAAGCCTATGTATAATGATTTAGTAGAGAAAAGAGTGCCTAAACCTACAGTCTGCGGGTTGTTATGTCAAGGCAAAAATTTAAACACATATGTAATGGCCTAGTATCTGCACAAACATATCAAATAGTGGAATTGTCAAAGGTTACTTTGAGTAGAAACATTGAGGAGTTACACTTGTTACCTATTTTCATTTCCAGGCTTATTCAAGTTAAAGAAAGAACAAAGTGTTTATGCTTATATCTTGCTAACCTTAATTTCTTCTCTAAATAATACAAACAGAATACCGCTCTTGAAAATGTCAAAAAAAAAAAAAAAAAAAAAAAAAAAAAAAAAAAACAGAAGACTGCATTATAACAGCAAACAATTCAATGCGCTGTCAACCATGCAATCCTCCAGAATTGTGATGTATCATACTAGTCGTCCTACTGCATAATCCAAGCATAACTTTTTGTATCACTGTGACACTTTGCTTCGTTTAAACATGATATTTTATGGTACTCAAAAATAGGGCGCTTCCATATAGCACCACTATACAGCTTCACACTACCAAAGTGTCTGCCTAATCTAAGGCTTTTCAGTGGAATATCATTGATGTAAAATGCGATTATATCATAATTACTTTTAAATGACCTTGATAGAGCTGACAACATAAAAAAAAGTAAAATACAACAATAACCACGTTTTATCTTTTTCTTTTTGAAACCTTATAACAGTCGTAGTCTACATCAAGAAACATGGAAAGATATCTGTTCTGAACGGGCTTAACGCAAAGCTACACATTGAAACATTTCGTTGACGACATCACAGGTAGCACTTGTAACATTAACCCTCTTGTGGATTTCCTTGTGCGCGTAGTGTACGCCTTTGATACTAGTACTGGTGAGCTCGCTAGGCGGCCAACGCCCAGGAAGCTATATGAGGATAGATTGAAGTCAGCTATTGCGGCTAAAGCTACAATAAATAACATTTTAAAAAACTCATCTTTGACAGTGGATAACTTAGACTCGTTGAAAATACCCATAATTCAGGTAATGGGTTTCGAATGCCAAATTTTTATTGTTAGGCTCGCTGAACCAAACCTCTATGCTATAAAGAAGTTGTCTGAAATGAATTTTCCAATTACCAATAAAGATCTTCGAAACAATGGTATTGAAGCTATTATCATTTGTTGAAGTAAATCATTCATGCATGCCTGTGTTTTAATCTTATACTCATTCTAATATAATATAGGAGCGTTCATTAAATATTAAGAAGATTGTTAATGAGAGCAATATGTTTGAAATTTCAAAAGATGGACTCAATCAGCTCAGGAACAAAACATAAAATCGTATCAAAAAAAGAATGGGTCACAAAAGTCAAATGGTTCTCAAAGAAGGATTTCGAAGAAGAAGAGTAGTCTCTTCTTTCATTACTTACATCATTCTTTATATCATTCTTATTGTAGCATAATATTCTTTTATTACACTTCGTAAGACGTGATCTTAGTTGTTATCAACCTTTTCTTTATTATTATTGGAGCTTGTACCACTGAATAAAAAAATTTTGGTATTCATCTTCTTGAGCGAAACAGGAGATAAAACAGAAACAAGAAAGGGACGAGGAGGGTGGGAACAACCAAGATCACTTACTCGTGTAGTGTGTTCAACACTTCATAACAAATTTTATTCAACATAAAATTCTTTGGAACTATTTTATTGGTCACACAGTTTTTTATCTCAAGTGCGAAAGAGCGATTCCTCTTTTGAGCCACATTATTACATCAAACATTGCAAATAGGCCCTTGTTTACTATAAAAAATCTCATACCTATGAAAGATCAACACCTCAATTCAAAAACACGGCAGATAATATACATATATTTTTGAACCTACGGTCCTGATGTCAGAGCCAGTGAGGAAGCTTGATTAACTCTATCTTAGGCAAAAACCAATCTCATCCCTTTGTCAGTTATTTACTACTTGTGTGCCTCATATTACATAAGGGTTTTCCTAATATGGTTTCTTATGCTGCTATTTCACAGTTTGTTTTTTTACATGTTGCGCAAGTGAAGTAACGTCATGCATATTTCTTCCCGTTATTCATCTTTATAAGCTTTGTTATTTGATTGTCTTTACTTTTATTAAAACAAAGAAGGAAAGGTGGGAGAGAATAAATAAAATCAGGAGCATTTGAATTTTGAGGGGAATAATATACTTGATGTGAAAAATAACCAAGTCCCTCCAACCATAAGCTTGGGCTACACAGCCGAGCGTCATGCAGCTTCTTTTTATTCTATATTTGGAATGCATTCCCTTTCTCTTTTTTTTTTTTTTCTTCTTCTTCTTCTTCTTTATTGTTCAATATATTAAATAAAAAGTAATTTGAAAATGCAATCAAATTATTACTCATATAGTCCTCAGCTATATACAATACCGCAGCAGCAACCGCAGCTTCAAGTACCCCAGCAACAACAGCAATATTCGCAGCCACCCAATACTGCTCTAGATGAATCATCCATAGGAACGGGTGGAACAGGAGAAGAGTATGACTCTGAAGAGAGCGCTATTCCAGATAAGAGAGCGGGTAGAAGAAAGATAAAGATCGAATATATCCATGATAAATCAAGAAGACACATTACATTTTCGAAAAGAAAGGCTGGAATCATGAAAAAGGTAAAACGATACACATAACTAGTGAGTAACCAACTGAGCATCAAGTCTATAGGCATATGAGCTTAGCACACTGACAGGTACTCAGATACTACTGCTAGTTGTATCTGAGACAGGGCTTGTTTATACCTTTACTACACCCAAACTACAGCCACTTGTTACAAAACCTGAAGGAAAAAATCTTATTCAATCATGTTTAAATGCACCTGACCCAGCAGATACATCATCCATGGACCAGTCATTGCTAAATGCACCCTCATCCTCAGCAACTGTGAGTAACACATTTCTAGAACGTATGTTATTGATATGACATCGTATATACTCACATCTATTTTGTTGCTAGACAACCAACAGTCGTTATTATCATTCTAATCAACCCGTTATGGAAAATAGTATGCATAGATATAATATCAAGGATAGTAACAAGGTAGTTTTCACGAATGAAATATCTAGATATAAAACTGATTAAAATAGGCACTTAATCAAAAGGTGAACCCTACAACAGAGAATGTGATGTTGAATAACAATCAACAGCCTCCAAGCTATATTCCGACCTCTTCCTCTATGATCTATCCTACATTCGCAAACAACCCTATCAATAATAGTAACAGTACCAACAATTCGATGTATCATCAATACAATCCTAATTACTGGACAGCATCAAACCGAGAAAAGTAGACATTGTATGTACTTCTAATATGTCTATGTATATATAATATAAATATCTGTATACACATATATATATAAAAAAAAAAAAGCTTTATAGGAGCTCCCCTAAATCATTTTGCATATCATGCATGAGCAGTAATTGATTGTTCTACACTTATTTCTTTTTTATTGTTTAAAATAACATTTAGTGAAACAGAAAGATGATATTGTACACGCATAACCAGGTGATCTATATGTTCTATAATACATATGTTGTTCTTGTTGGCTGTTGTAACTTATTCAAATTCCCAGTGTATGCTACAAACACCCAATCCCAAGTCACCACAGACTTTCTTGAATACTATATAATACATAATGAATAAACTACGCATTTACTTTTTCAGATGTAACTTACAGGCTGGTGACATATCTAAGGAGCCATTATCACATCCAGGGCATGTGTCTACAACTCGTGCAGTAGCGGACTTGCCTGATGGTCCAACAATCTTGACCTTTTTATTACACTTGGGATTACCGTTTGGGTTGCTTCCTATAGTATTGATAAGCCCACATGTACTCTTAACAAAATATAATGAATACCATTAGCCATTTGTTCCTTGTTAACTGCAACGACCATCTCCGAATTGCTGTTCGTTTGACCACATGAACCTGGGCCGACATCATAATAGGTGCCTTTGCCAACGAAGGATAATAAATCACTTGCCAATTTTTTAATAGGTAATGCTTCAGTTTGCTTGACCGAACAGAGAATAAAAAGGTTGAGAAGAATAAAAAATACAATCTTGTTCATTGGAAGAAATATGCTAAAGTGAAAGAAGAATTGAAATAGAGTGATCTTGATGCAATTGCTATCCTTTTTATATTAACCTTGAGCTCCTTAAATGAAGTCCATTTTTGTATTACTTCCAACAAATAAAAAGGTGAAAGAGTCTGATGTTTACTCTTTGACCTCCTAGATTTCATTATATTATCTTAGGCCTCTCCTTCTCTTTCTTCTCATGCCAGTTGCTAAAAAGGTATATTTCAGTTATGTTTTCTTAACTGACTAATTTTTCTTTCTTCTAAATAGAATATAAAATTCATTTTTTATTGTCAAGTAATTATGTGAGTTATTTTGTTAGTTTAAAAGCAATATATTCATCGATATCATTCATTTCAGTTTCAAGGGGGAGAAAGAAAAGGAGAAGGGGAAACATGCAAGGTTCCTTATTAATACATTTATGTCAAATAAAATTATACGTCTTTCTTCTTAACAAAATAGACATGTTGATTTTTGCATATAATATGTGTAGCACACAGCAGCCTTTGACCCGTCTCATATTGAAGAAATCAATAAAAGAAGAAAACTTAGTTCACATCATTATCAATCATTAAAGATAATAGAATATGCAATCATATTTCACGTTGTCTCTTTAGAAATTATTTATGACTATTATTATTAAATATGTGTGTTTCTTTGTTTGGCTTAGACAGATTTCTCTCTTTCTTTATTGTATGCATTACGAACGATGATGACATTAGTCCAGTATCAAAATGTCTTGTCATATCTTTATCCACACTACTTGCCTTCTTATTATCCAAGCAACGCTTCTAATTAGATATTGCTTACCGTTCTAGACTTAGGATTTTATACATCCTCCCAATCACTCTTTTCGGTCAAAGGACAGCGTCTGTTCTTTTCCTTCAAAGTCAATACCATTCTATTAATTGCTATAAGTTTTGCCATTTCAAGTTATTGATACAGCAGAACAACGGTCTTCCAATGGCGATGCATGCAGGAACAATGTCTGCAGTCGTCAAGCGCCGCATTAGCTCAAGTAGCCTCCTTTATATACGCACACGCTTTCTTTTTGCATGTGGCAAAACAGAGTTTAATCCACACTGGAGGTTATTCAAATGACCGAACAGCAAGTCTCGATTTCAACTCTGTTTTCAGGAACCCTTCGGGTACAAGAACAATTAAGGAAACTGTTTGAAAAGCTGGGACATCTGATTGTCCGATTACAGAAAAAGAAGAAGGATCTTTAGATTCAAAAATAGAGAATAATGGCTCAAAAATGGACATACCTGTGATCATGTATTACACTTGATTGTCATAAACAGATAACGAAAGGAATAAACAAATATGTTGTTAGTCATTCTGTTGACAACGCCTTATGTTGCCATAATAACATGACACTTATTTGCATAGAATAGAGATAAAAACTATAAATATCGCCTATATCAGCCTCCTTCTTTGCACAACATGTAAGCCTCCTAGATTTAGTAGTGAAGCTTGTCATTGGTAAGAGAACAGCTTATAAATGCGTTCTAGATCTTTATATAGCAATATTTATCAGCTAACGTCAATACTTGATGATCCAGACATTAAGACAATAATAGTTATGCTCTTACTTGTTTTTGGTGTTCCCCGATTGTTTGACAGATCGTCTTAATATATGTATAATTAAATCTTATTTTTGGTGTAATTTAATGCACTGTTTGCGTGTTTGTTTTCATTGTACACGCGTTCAAATTATAAACAATGTCTATTCTTGTTTATTGATATCACAATTTAGTGACAATAATGAAATAGGGGAATGATGAATAAAATATATCCGTTCGATTGCCTTAGGCATCGTTTTCAGCCAGCGCTGCTCTTGCTTCGTTAAGTTCGTCCTGCATGATCTTTTTACGTGTGAGTGCAGATTTGGCCAAGTCAAGCCTATTGTGTTTTTTAAATACGAGTGCAAGTCGACGGTCTTGTTCTATTCTCTTTTCAACGTCATTCAAGTACGTTTCCATATCCAGAATGCCTGTTTGTACTTGAATAACGAGCATATTCATCTTGATCTCTAATGCTTGTTTGCGGTCCATCAAATCATCTTTATTTTTTGATTGAGGCGATGCTAGTGCTGCGTTTACCAAAGACATTTCATGCTCAAGCACCATGTTGGACACAATACTGTCGACACTGTGTATCAAAAAAAAAGGATATTAGTTTGTTTAAGTATTTTACTTCTATTTATTACCTGTTGAATTCTTCTTCGGCTTGCTCGAATTCATCATTGGCTACTGTAACATTACCCCGCTCTTCTTTCAAATTTTGCTCAGGTGTCGCCTGTTTCGCTTTAGGCTCGGGCGCCACTTGTTTGGCCTCTTCCTTTGGCGTCTCTATTCTTGATTCAGCAGGAGACTGTTTGTCCATTATTGGGCTAGCCATTGTTGTAGATGTCTGTGGGCCCCCCACCGTTAATCCTGCAGCAGATAAGGCAGCAGAAGCAGTACTACCAAAAGCATCAAGTATAAGCCAGCGCTCTGATCGCTTCACAGTATCCTCCCCTGTTAAAGGCTCTCTCAAGTTGACTTGAATTTCAATCTTCCCTCCTGTCTTTTTTCGACTAGAGTCCAACAACTGTATAAAACCATGTCAGTACATTAGGAGTCATTATAATATATCAAATGCCTTACATCAAATGTCCCTGATATAGATGACTTCGTCACTAATCGTTCCATTGGTATAACAACCTTGCCAAGAGAAGTAGGACGTCTGAAAAGCCCATAAGAATATTTGTTATGAAATACCTCTACTGTCAACTTCTTTCTCTGCAAGTAGCGCAAGAACGCACGGTTTGTTCGAGTGATGGGTATCATTAACGAAAAATCAAATTGAGGATCGGGGCCCTTCTGGATTGAAGTTTCGCCCTTATTCATAGATGCTTGTGCGGTATTTTCTGGTGGCCAACCTCCTAAGTCCCAGGTGACAAATGGCTCGAGGTTGGTGGCAATGTCTAAAGTAGGTAGACTGACTGCTCGTATAACCTTCAATTCCATCATATTTGAGGGTATATGATCATTGATATTTTTATAAACATAACTGGTTTGTTCGTAATGCAACGGTGGCAATGAAGAATTACCGTTCTTATAGGCTCTTAGGGAAACAAGATCTGCGGATAATGCCTTCTCCGCTTGGTAGTAGGCATCTGGTTGAGCGACTATAGCAGTCTTACTATTGGAGGCTTTGCTCTGTCTATCACTGTTTTGTACAGAAAGGTTATGGCAAACGTTGATCTGGTACGAGAGTTCTGCTTCAATTTGTTCAAATGATGCAGGGCTTTTACCTACATTGACTTCATTAAGTTGTCGCATCTTGGAATCACCCAGGCTCATATCTGGTGGTCCAGGTAGTTGAATTGATTTGATATCTGTTATTTGCCCATTCTTTAAATTAACGCCTGTGTGCAGTAAATCTTTTGAGATTCTAACCATTTCTTTTGCAACAATAAGGTTATTGATCTTTTTGTAGTGAAGCGCTGCATTCTTGTATTCTTTTTGTAGTGAAATAACCTTTGTCAGTAAATCCTGTAGGGCCGAAGGATCTACTTGTTGTTGTTGCTGTTGAGGTGGTTCTTGTAAGGAAGGATTTTGCGACAAGGATCGTTCTTTGTCAGTAATGCTCAAGGCATTATTTTGATTTGCTGTGGATGATGCATCCATAGGAGGATCACTGCTGGTGGTTTCCTGATAAATTTCGAGTAGTTCGGTGTATTTTTGATTACATGCTTTTGATTCTCTTAACAGCTGAACTGCCCTTTTCTTGTCGCCATTCTTTTTGGCTTCTAGAGCCATTTTTTGATACGTGGTCGCTTTTTCTTTCCATATTTGAGGATCTCCATCATTATCCTCCTGTTGTTCTATTTCTGGAGTCTGTTCTGCGGCCTGAGCTTCTTGCTCTTGTTTGTTTGAAGGAGTATCTGCTAAAAAATCTACATGCGAGCTCACACTGTCTTGATTACCGGTTAGTGCCGACAGCTCATTCTATATCAAAATTAGCACATACAGAAGAGTAGTACAGCCTGGTTCTTACAAGTAAGTGTGGGTCCGAAAAGTCCTTTTCGTCTAGTTCTACGTGTATATCTTCGTCTCCGACAGCTAGAGCAGCGTAGGAATCAATATCAATATCCATAGGTTCAACAAGCTGCTTCTTCTTAGTTTGCGTCTTTTTTACGCTGCCTGACGCTAATTCTTGTAATTGTTTCTATTGTACACAACATTAGATTGAAACAATTTCAGCTTCATTCACTCATTTTACCAGTAGCTCAGGATCGTTCAAGTCAACGTTCTCATCTTCTTCAATGTCTGCATTAAGCAGTTTGTTCAAGTCATTAACATCAAACTCTTTTTCTGGTCTTCGTTGTTGCTTTCCAAACATTGAATATTGTTTAATTAAAGAATGGTTCAGACTTCCAGCATCAATGCCGTGGTTTCAAATCGCTTGTCGCACTTTTAAAAATAGAAGAACACAAAGATTGCTTGACAATGATGCTTTACATCAGCCTCCTCCTTCATAGTTAAGACATTATTTTGAAGCTTTAAAAATAATGCCAAGGGTAGTTATGCCTTCTCGGTGCATATATTCCTTCGATACATTATTTCTTTACCAACTCTCAGATCTTCTGCGTAGCAGATTATTCCTCTCTTCTGATCACTCATCTGTCATGTCCTGACTAAATCATTGGATCGCCTACTCTGCTGATACTACCACACCCACCTTATCCAAAACGATATTTCTCAAGGCTATAATGGCTGCACTTTTCCTGTGTCCTCAGACGTCATCCTTGCCAATACATTGATAAGAGCATGATCTTTGACTATTTTTTTTTTTTTTTCAAATACTTTGTATATACATCCGGAAGATATATGTGGCCCATATTACGCTATCATACTTTTGAACCGAGAAGATACCCACATTTTATATTATTACTCTTTCAAGTAGATCAAGTAGATTTCATTCATGCTAATTTTTACCTCGTCAGCATGTAATAACTCGTAAAGTTAAAAAGCCACTGATTGCTTCACAAGCCATTAACTTCATAATGTTATACTCTATTTTAGTTGATCTGCTTCACATATTATTGAGAATATAGCTGGTTACTGGTGGATTCAAAAGTAACAAAATAGCTCATTTTATCCAACTAAAAGGCACACGTGCAGCTATCTTGAGTTATCAAGACTTTACTTTGGGTTTAGATCCTGTTATTTTGATTTTGTCAAGGACTGATAATAGTTCAATATGTAGGCATCTGGTTAGAAACAAGCCCAATACTTTAGATCTTACGTGCGCTACATACCACTTGCCAATGGCAACAATTGCACTGTTTTAGGGATACTTGTTTAATTGCCTGGATGGCTTTAGGACAAAGAAGCAACATGTGAAAGGAATCAGCTATCTATTGACAACATTTTAGCTCATATAGGTGTAACAATTACTCTCTCTAACTTTTGATCTTTACACAATTATATAAGGCATAGCGATCTAGGAGTCATGGAAACATCATTTCTATTGGTTGCCCTTTCCAATTACAGTATTTCTACTTAGTTTTCAGACGTTCTCTTTTTTTTTCCGGACGATTTCCATTTTAATTTCAGACATTTACAAAAGGAAATTCAGACAACTTCAATTTTTTATTGGACGAATTCATTTTTATTTTCAGACTTTTTTTCCTTACTTAATTTAGACCATTTCAATTTGTGAGCTTAGCGAAAATAATAGAAATAAAGATAAAAAGTGAGTCTCTTATTCTCGGTTTTACTAAGAAAAGAGTGAGAGAGAGTTCATAGTAAATACTGAAATGATATATTTAAATAGAATAAAAGATTAAGTGAAACCAGTTAACTGTGTATAAAAGTATTAATTTTCAGGTCGATAAATAGAAGTATAGTAATATATACACAATTTACAGTGTTAGCCAAGCATTGGTCTTTATTAAAGCAGTTTTCTGTTTAAACGATTTTCAAACTCTGCTACTGAATGTCTGCAAAAGCCTTGTAGGTTACAAGTAAGCACTTTGTTGCAAGTTTTTCTAATTTTTGAAGACAGTCTCCTCTTCCAAAAGCGCTTCTGTGGTGTTTTGGTAATGTAATAATAATAATAATAATAATAGGAAAGACTTAGAATACGTTGAGGCTGCTTTAATACTTTATTAGGTCTTGTAAAGTACAGTTAACGCAACGCCAAAGGGCGGGTCGAAAAAGATTTCAAAGGTCGGCTTTTGAAATTCCAATGGGCGGTTTTTTCAATCTCAAAGGGCGGCTATTTAAATGAGTACGCATTTTTTTATGAAGATGGGCAGGAGAGAATTGTTGACGAGGAAGGGCGCGATGCAATGGAATGGGAATAAGAAGTTCACCCACATCACCTAGAAACGTTAATCCGCCTAAGGCTTTATTGTGAAAAGCAGGGTCTAGAGCAAAACTCGGTTGATGAAGGTTTAGATGCTGAAATGGAGGAAGCTTCAAGAGTAGTAAAAACGCAGAAAAAGCATTACAATGGCTACTTCAGCGAACAAAAACTTCTTTTTGTCTATTACAATAGGGTAAAGCTATTCAATGCTGCTAAATCTGGTAGATTAGCTAGAGGAATTGCTGAACTAACAGCACAGAAATGGGCCAAGAGACTCAAAGAAGACAAAGATTGGAACATCTTGGAAAAACAAACTAACAAAGTCAATAGGCCGAAGGCGCAGCTTGATAAAAGACATAAGATTCATCTACTCAACTTTTATGATAATAAGCCTCAAGTCAGGATTGTTGATGCAGTTGCTTTGCTCACTAAAAAGTTTGAAGGTTTTACATTAAAGGAAACCAGTGTTAAAAACTTTATGAAAGAAGAATGTAGCTTTCATTCAAGAAACTCACCCTTCATCCAAAAGCAAGAAACGATCAATCAAAAATCGCAGATCGTATAGCACGGATTGAGAAGTGGAGTAAGACAGATATGAACTATCTCGAAAACTGTGTTTTTGTGTATGAATCGGGTTTTGACATCAACATGAGACCTCCTGGAGGATGGTCTGCTAAGGTTACTCCAGCTATTACGACCACTCCCAGCACCAGAGCAGTTTCACATACAGTTTTAGGTGCAATTCCAGCAAAATATGTTGTGTCAATGGAGCTTAGAAATCCACAGGAGCACTCATCAAAAAGATTAAAGATAGATCATATAAATCGTAAAAGGAAAGCACCATCCAAGGCAAAAAAGAATGCTCCTAGAGGCACTGTCACTGGTCATTATATACATTTTATTCAAAAAACTATGGATGAAATGGATTGCATTCCTAAGATGAAAGGATACAATATAGTGATGGATAATGTGCCCATTCACACAGCTGATACAATAGAAGCTATGATAACAGAAAGAGGTTATAAATGCGTTTATCTGCCGCCTTATTCTCCCAAGCTTAATCCTATTGAGCAATTTTGGTCTTTTATTAAAAACAAGGTAAGACGCAGTCAGTTTCAGGACAAGGAGGATTTAGCCACTAGAATAACTGAGGCCTGTAATTCTGTTCCCCGTGAGCATCTTAAAGCATTTGTACAGCACTCAGTAAATTTATTTGAAAAGTGCCTAAAAGGCGAACCTATTTAATAAACTTTTCTTCTACCATAAGTATTGACAAAAAAAAAACGCCCATTGAGTTATAAATATTCACCTGCTTTAAGTTTAAGAAAATAAAATTGGAATTTCAAAAACCGCCCTTTGGTGTTGCGTTAACTGGACTATCATAGATCAAATCAACCTTTAACTCAGGATTTCGCGTCAATGTATCACATTCCAACTATACATAAATGGAATCTCTATGATAATTATTAACTGAAAAGGGTATACTACGGTACTAATTTATTGATGAAAATAAAATGAAATAATGTAATACAAGAAATATTCATGTGAGGGAGTTTTTATAGTTGTCCTCTTCAGACTCGGAGGCACCATGCTTTCTTTTTTTAGACTTAAAAAATATAAATTTTTGACTGACATGAGTACTATCAGAGAAAGCGGCATCCATCTCGCAAACGCTTCCAATATCACTGGAGGCGGTTCAGGACTACGTGTTTGCTTTGCGTCCCCGTAGTCCTTCTCCATGTTTGTAGGTGGGGAGGCATGGACCAAACGGCTATACACATAAATTACAGGTCATCCAAGATGTGGGAGGTCGTTTGGGAAGTTATAGTCAGGGATCTTTTAAAGCAAGACCGTCCACCTGGACACGGCACACACAGATGGCTGATATTAGGTAAGGAATGGGGCCCCACCTACAAACATGGAGAAGGACTACGGGGACGCGGAGCAAACACGTAGTCCTGAACCACCTCCACTGTACATCTCATTTGCAGCAATTCTCTTTCTTAGTGCAGGAATCAATGATGTGTAAAAATGCTATCAAATGTTGATGTCAATTCAACGCGACCGTGCACTTGCAAAAGAAAAAGATACTTACTTTGAATCTGAAAAGAGCTAGGAGAGTGTTTTCAATACAAGCAATGTCTGAAAAACGTCTTGGTATTACAAGGATTGAGTGGGGGGCTGCAACGAAGTAGTCATCCACTTTTGTCAACAGGTAGATGTAGCCATGCAAACCTATAGAATATGATTTTGTCAATAATTTCCCGCTACGGTTAATCACAATATCATCACCTATCATATCAATTGCTAAAAGAGATGAGGGAGAGGTACCAAATGCATGCAAGCTGTTCATGATAGAAGCATTTATGCACAAATTTTTTGACTGTTGCTTTAATTTCAACTCTGGAGTCACCTTCGATCTCTTCCACTCATTACTACATAAGTCTACGTTCTTGCGATCATTGTATCTCAGTATCAAATCTATTTTGCGTGCATACGTTGCTGACGAATCTTCGACGTGAAACAATTGTTTGTTAGTTTCAATTGCAATTTTGCTGCTAGAGCAGCCAGTTTCTCCACTGAGAAAAATAAGAGAGATATGATTAGAGAAATATCAACTTTGGTTCTATGCACATACTCGATCATATTCAGGTCAGTTTTAATTAGCAGTGTGTCCAGATAGCTAGCGAAGCGTCGGTAGAAGGTTATCTCCTGCTCGTCGCCCGCTTCGTTCCACAACTGCGTGTCTTCAATTCTGTTAATGATAGTTGGCAGTTGTTAATAGAATGTTCAAGATTTCCGTATATTGTTCTACTTACATTTTCTCCAGAATTGCTAGCGCCTTGTACATGTCACTGTGTCTCAACTTCTCTTTGACAAGTCTGGCTTTTTCCAACTGCACTTTATACAGTATATCATCCATATCTTTCTCGCTGTCAAGCAAATTACGAACGCCTGTCATGGCTTCAGCAACGGAATTTGTGGCAGTGGTTGTAGTTATTACTGTGGAGGGCGGTGATCTATTCAACTTCTCTTGGTATACTTTCTTCATATATGGATTCAGATAGTTGTAAATTCCGGAAAGGCTCAATCTGCATACATTTATCGTTAATATGGGCAAGACGTATCTTTATTTATATTACTTACTCGAGCAATGCATCCTCTTCACACGTGAGTTCTTCTTTCAAAAGTAGAGATGCGCAAATAAATAATAGATCCGCCTTGGGAGAGCCATTGCTTTTGTAATCACTCAAATACATCTTCTCTTCTTCACTTAAAAGTGCACTTGGAGAACACTGTTGAAAAAAATTAGAAAATCCAGCACAGTTCTGATGGAAAAAGTATATGACGTTTACCTTTTTATGGGCCAAATAATGAAGGCGCAATTCATGATCATCCGCTGGTATCTTATCCCAGGTAAGATGTGCAGAAGCAATAGTGTCATCGTCAGTGGTGGGAGTAATAGTACTAGTGCTGGTTGCTTCATAGCTTCGAGAGTCAGTTTCAGCAGCGGTTCTTATTGTATCCTCTTTATCTGCGGTAGTAGTAGCATCATAGACAGCGGCAGTAGAAGAATCAGCATTAAATTCATTATCAGTGGTAGTAAAGGACTCGGCTAGCATAGTAGTGGCGGCAGCAGTAGCCATCACAGCGGCCCCAATTGCGTTGACTGTGGAGGTAACTCTTGCATCATACTAAATGTTATTTGTTTTGTTTTGTGGCTAATATCAAGATATGGATGGCCGTGAATTATTTGCAACTTACGAGTGCCTTTGCTCCTTTTAAAATATCCTCCCAAAATGCCTTGTTATACGTGCCTTTTCTTTTGGTAAATCGTACATTTCACTAACAGATTATTACATCAATCAAAGTAATCAAGCTATTTACCCTTCTACTATCATCTCCAACTTATTATAATCTCGTAGGGCCATTGCAAATCGACTTTGCCACAATCCAAAAAGAGTCAATGGCTCTATCTGCTGCTTGTACTCCAGCCATTGCATGAGATTCATTTTGTTCTCTGTGATGAAATTATTGAAATATGGAACTCTGTTATTCTTTATGTAGTTATGTAATGCTGCAAAAAAATTGAACTTTTGATTAGTATATTACGATCCACAGGTAAGTATCTCTATTGATTTACCTTGTTTTCCTCTATACTCTGACATTGGTTTGAAAAGTTGGAAAAAAATGCTTGCCGTATTCGGCTGATAAATCTTATCGTGAAGTGTTGATGTCACCACTGAAAACATCGGTATTAGAATAACGATGTTTTCTGTCAACTAAAGATACACATTTCGAGAACGAGAGCATGAGTTTATAAATGAGATTTTGATTAAGAACCCATTGATTTTAATATAATAAACGATATCTTTATTCTCTCTAACAATAAGTAGAGTTACGTTTAACAGACAAGGTATATATCGCTTATTCCTACTACCTCCTTAATTTCTAAGCCAATCTGCTGGCACCTGCTAAACGTCCGACCTCAAACTCATTTTAATCTATGCTTACATCATTAGTCAATTATTGGTTGTTTTTGTGATATTTTTTTTTTAATACATTCTCTTCCCTCAGAAACAAGCTGGGGTTACAATCTTCTGCTGGAAGCGCATGACATGTAGTAGAAGCGACATGTTCTTCTTAAACTTATCAAAGGTAAAGAAATATATATCTTTTGTCGCCTTGTCTAACTCGGTTTTGAATTCAAAATGTATTCTTGCTGGTACCTCTTGATCAGAAATGAATTACTTTGGTTCTACTACAGTATAGGTTCATGTATATGATACATATTCTTTTATCTCATTCAATCAAAAAAATTTGAAAAAAAAAAAAAGAGTAAACATGGTTGCAAATTTTATACATGTAATGTAGTCCATAATACAGTTCTTATTCGAAGGGAAAGTCGCTGTTGCTATGTAGGTTGTTAATGACAAAGAGACATTCACGAGGGCTTAATGGTATCTCCTGGGGCATAACTTTTCAACGCAAGTTCCTTCAAGGATAACATCGGCTTGTATGAAAAGTAGTGCTGGCCATTGCAAAGTGTTGTCAATGGAAGAGAATTCTATACTAATTCTCCTTCTAGCAGCGTTATAAACTAGAATAGAAGATCTCCTAGACAGTGCGTAATACCGATACATATGATGAAATATGGTTTCCATCTTCAACCCGTTTGTTTTACTGTATTAATTTTTGCGCATTTGACTCATGTAAATTTATGCGGTATAATATCAGTAAATAATGATAAGCACCACAGACTGTCCATTGCGCACAGAATCTTACAATATGAGCCAGTTGTGGTGATCTAGCCCATATTAATAAAATTAAGCTTACATCATCTATCAAAGACTAGAGTACAAGAATAATATAAAATAAAATAATAAAGTCAAGTCTAAAGAAATAAATTACATCATAAACAATAACATCATACAATAATGAAATAGACACTAAGACTATAAAGTAATGTACTAGTAAGGGTATAAATACAACTATTTAGAATGGATCCTTATGATCCTTAGATCTCTTTTTATCTTTATTTCATAATAAAAACATATTATCCAGTCTCACAGTACTTTTACTTGACTCCCTTTTTTTTATTATATTTACCTTACCAATTACCACACCAGCAACGGGGATTATTTGTAGTCTAGTCTCATTTTTGCTTCACACATAAAAGCTGTGCCCCCATCCAACTACTTCTCTTTACTCAATATATAATTGTATTTTAACATACAAAATGAAACTTTTGATTTTTGGATCTAACGGCCCCATGGCCAAGAAACTATAAGGAGAGCTTTGTTGGGGAACATTAAGTTGCTGCAAACGCTAGATTACCAAATAAAATCAATCGAAAGATTGCAACTGTCACAGGTGGATTGACAGGTGAACAAGCTATCTTGAAAGCATTGAATGGCGTGGATGCTTTAGGCCCAATTAAAAATCATCTACCGGATCTGCCTATATATCATTAATGGTTAGAGTATCAGTGTCAAATGCATGGAACAGAAATGAGCGAAGCAACTGCATCAACAATCCTGACTTGAGGCTTATTATCATAAAAGTTGAGTAGATGAATCTTATGTCTTTTATCAAGCTGCGCCTTCGGCCTATTGACTTTGTTAGTTTGTTTTTCCAAGATGTTCCAATCTTTGTCTTCTTTGAGTCTCTTGGCCCATTTCTGTGCTGTTAGTTCAGCAATTCCTCTAGCTAATCTACCAGATTTAGCAGCATTGAATAGCTTTACCCTATTGTAATAGACAAAAAGAAGTTTTTGTTCGCTGAAGTAGCCATTGTAATGCTTTTTCTGCGTTTTTACTACTCTTGAAGCTTCCTCCATTTCAGCATCTAAACCTTCATCAACCGAGTTTTGCTCTAGACCCTGCTTTTCACAATAAAGCCTTAGGCGGATTAACGTTTCTAGGTGATGTGGGTGAACTTCTTATTCCCATTCCATTGCATCGCGCCCTTCCTCGTCAACAATTCTCTCCTGCCCATCTTCATAAAAAAATGCGTACTCATTTAAATAGCCGCCCTTTGAGATTGAAAAAACCGCCCATTGGAATTTCAAAAGCCGACCTTTGAAATCTTTTTCGACCCGCCCTTTGGCGTTGCGTTAACTGTACTTTACAAGACCTAATAAAGTATTAAAGCAGCCTCAACGTATTCTAAGTCTTTCCTATTATTATTATTATTATTATTACATTACCAAAACACCACAGAAGCGCTTTTGGAAGAGGAGACTGTCTTCAAAAATTAGAAAAACTTGCAACAAAGTGCTTACTTGTAACCTACAAGGCTTTTGCAGACATTCAGTAGCAGAGTTTGAAAATCGTTTAAACAGAAAACTGCTTTAATAAAGACCAATGCTTGGCTAACACTGTAAATTGTGTATATATTACTATACTTCTATTTATCGACCTGAAAATTAATACTTTTATACACAGTTAACTGGTTTCACTTAATCTTTTATTCTATTTAAATATATCATTTCAGTATTTACTATGAACTCTCTCTCACTCTTTTCTTAGTAAAACCGAGAATAAGAGACTCACTTTTTATCTTTATTTCTATTATTTTCGCTAAGCTCACAAATTGAAATGGTCTAAATTAAGTAAGGAAAAAAAGTCTGAAAATAAAAATGAATTCGTCCAATAAAAAATTGAAGTTGTCTGAATTTCCTTTTGTAAATGTCTGAAATTAAAATGGAAATCGTCCGGAAAAAAAAAGAGAACGTCTGAAA